TTGGTTCTATAATCTTTCGAGAAGCGCACCATTAAATCCCAAAGTCTAATTACGTCTATGAGTTGGCAAAATAATATCATGAGAAAGAAGAGAAAATACACATTCGTGACGAACGAGAACCCGTAGATAAACACACGTACGTGTGGGGATCAGTTCCGAGGCGGGAAATGCTTAATGTATTTGCGTGCTGTGTTAATTGTGGCAGGGGCAGCGATGTAGCGATGTAGCGATGTCTGATGTCTTTCTTTTTGATTCCGATTCCCCTCCGTTCAACGGGAAAGGTGGTGTTTCCTCATCATAATATTTTCTCACCCTCTCAGTCTCTCTCTGTTGTCTGTCTGTCGGCCTGTCGGTGGTTCTGTCGCACATAGTATATTTTCTTTACGTGCGCGATTCTGTTTGTCGACGGTATCTGGAACATTTAAGTCTAATTTGCTTCATTAAATTGTCACATTTGTTATTATGTTTTTATTTTCTTGACGTCAAACTGATGAATGATCTCTCGTTCTGCTGGGTATGCTCGACTAAACGGAATAGTGGATAAGCATGAGCACGCTATCTGAGGAATGTTCCTCCATACCAGAGGTATTTTCCATTCCAGATCTCCATTGCCTGCTGTTGAAAGTGCCGCCAGTTGATGAATGGCCCTGTAATTTTGTGTGTGCTCCATCGTTAGAGCTTAATGAACAGCTGGCAGGCGTTTAGATTACTCGTATATTCCATTCTAATGTAATTAAGATTTCTCCCTGCTGTGTGCGCTTTTGTTTTCATTTCCATTGCCTCGGATTTTCATTCATAAAAGTATATATATCTTCTATCCTACACAAAATATAGTTTACTTGGTCAGGTTTTTTTTGTTTTCTTCTTTATATTTATTCGCTGTGTGTATCCCGCCGCTTGATTGCCTTCGTGGCTGTGCATTTTAATTATTGAAAGTGGGGAGGGGGAAAATCAACGCTCCATGAAAAACACAAGAAATACCATCAAACCAGAAAATAAGGCGGGTCTCTATCGAATCGAAGTCTGGGATACACTTGAAGATTTATAGATTTTGAAGTTTTTCCTCTTGTTTTTGGAATGATTTGTTTCTGACGGTCCTATGTATCATATAGTGATCGGATAGTGGCGATTGTGACTGGAAAAAAAGAAGTGAAAGAGCTTACTAAAGATTCTGACTAAAAAATAAGTGACACAAAAAAAAAAAAAATTAAAGTTAAAAAAATCTTTTTAAAAAACAAAAAGTTTTTAAATAAAAAAATTAAATTAATTAAATTAAAAAAAAAAGGTTTTTAAATTAAAAAAAAACTAGTTTTAAAAATAAAAAAAGGTTTGAAACTAAAAAAGGCTTAAAAATAAAAAAGGTTTAAAAAAAAAACTAAAAAAAGGGTTAAAAATAAAAAATTTAAAATTATTAAGAAAATAATAAATAAACTTAAAATTATTTGTTTAGTTGTGGAAAGTTTATTTTATGTAAAGGTTTTTTTTTTTAAATGGTCCACACTGCAAAGACTCTTTGGAGCCAAAAGACTCTCCTGTTCTCTTCTGTTGATTACGAATGAAGAAAGCTCCCTTTTTTCAGTTGATAGTCGCAGTACCCGCTTTGTGGATCGACAAATAATTGTTTGAAAATTAAAAGTCAAACAGAAAATGAACGCCAAAGTTGATGAAGAAATAATTTTATTTGCTGCTCATTTATTATGATGGGGCTTTTTGGTCGAAAGAGAAAACGAGAAACACCAAAGGAAAGTAAAAGCCGAAAGAGAGATGGATACCATGGCATGATGGCTGTGTGCTTGGACTCTACTTGCTACTCGCATTGTGATGGAATGGATTTAAAAATGCGTTGCGTTGCGCATACGCAATATCCAGCCAGCCCAGTGTCCAGTCGTTGTCGCTGGCGTTTATTTTTCGTGTGCGCGTACACATGCGTGTGCGTGTGCGTGTGCCATCCATCGGAGCGATGGCTGTGTTCCGGTGGTCAAACAATAAACGTGATTTCTGTTGGCTCTCCGTATTTTCTATTTCCATTTCCATTTCTGCTTAAAGTTGAACTCATTAATGTAGTTAATGGATATTAAACACAAACCGGCACAAAACAATGCTCTCGATCTCGTTATTTGGAGACACAAAAAACACACACAGAGACACGGAAAGAGAGAGAGAAACCGAACAATTATTATTATGTAAACTTTTGTGTTTAACTGAATGAACGATTTTTGTGGCATGAGGAGAAGGAGGAGCAGGTGGAGGAGAAGGCGGAACGGAGGGCAGGAGAATAATGGTCTGTAAAGCTATTCATTAACCAAAAATTATAATAACGCAAGAGTTGGACATCTGCAGCGCATTGACCGCATTATTACAGTTCAATTGCATTTGGTTACAGTGTTGTGAAGTGAGAAAAAACGTGTGATTGCTGCTTCACTTAGAATATAGCCATTACCCAGTGTTGTTGTGATTTAAAGGGACAGAGGAAAAAATCAATTCTCCTATGAAGAACAGTGTTGTTAAGTGACAAACAGCAGTGAAAACTGTCGAGTTTATTGGAAACTTCTTAAATGAAGGTGACTTTGTGCCACAGTGTTGTGAAGTGGCGCAGGAAAGTTGAAGTACTCAAAAGTACAGTTGTCTCCATTTTCAGTGTTATAAAGTGGTAGGGCATACCGCTTACCCTTTCACACACACTGCTGTTGAGTGACATTCTGGTACAATTTTCAGTGTTGTCAAGCGACAAAAGCAAGAGAATGCATGCCATGCGAAAAAGAGCGATGATCATACATTTTACACGCCATTCGAATCGAAATGGAAACTAAAAGATAGAAATAAACTCACAGAATCATTTCCGGCCAAGCGGCAAGACATAAAAGATACCAGAGGGAGAACGGAGGGAAGGAAGGGAAGGGAGAGTAAATTCTAAATTAAATAAATAATAAAATTGCAATTAAGTTTCGAGGAAACGAAGATACGGCACCCCAACAACAGCGAAGGGAGCGAGAGAGAGACTACAGGATGCACTTAATCACACAAGTTGTTTCATGGCTTGAATTGGGCTATTTTGTGATTCACTCTCGCCGCTCGATTGAACGCGCAATCGTAACTGCTACTTTTTGGCCGGGAGACACGTTTCCCGCGGTATTCTCTCGGGAATCAGGCCAAAGGAATTTTTGTGGCTTGTTGATTAGCGCACAGCGAACGCCAAAAGCAACACCATTCAGCAGCATGAGCTCATTTCAGTTTACTTTTTTTATTTGTTTTTTATTTGGATACGATATGCGGTGTGCCACGCGGTGGGGACTGGAGCGGAGTGCTGTGTGTTGTGTGCTGCGCCGCTAAAGCCCTCTTCAAGTTCACGCGCTGGCGATAATAAATGCCGCATGATATCATCATATTTGTGCGCCCAAAAACCCCAAAGAAATCATCGTCTAATAATTTGATTTATTTGCATCTCATGGGAAGTAGCAGAAAGGAAGACGGTACCCTATCGTTGGTTTGTTTCTATGGGATACACGATTTGTTGCAACTGCCATTGACGTCATGTGGTGCCCACAGAGATTGGAGATCAGAGAGGTTCGGGGGCAAGCCACAAGCCACAGGCCACAGGCCATAAGCTTAAATGTCAAATTGTGTCCGAGATTTAATTGGATTTTCATACATATTTGTTTTTTGGGAGGCCATATTCCATATTCCTCCATCCCCAAAAATAGAATGTTTGCGCCTCAAGTGCAAATTACCCAAAAATGGTGGGGGGGAACAAACACTTTGTAAAGCCAAATAAATAAATACTCGAAAGATGGAAAAATACATACATATGTACGTTGAATAGAATGTTTACCTTTTATGGCGGTTTGTGTGTGGATTCATTCGTTTCAGTGTTGCAAATAGCTGCTTTCAGTGTTGCAAAACCATATTTTCTGGTGTTGCACAACGTTTAATTCTTGTGATAAGAACTAGCAGTTGAATTAGTTTTGCAAAATGTGCGACAATGTTGGAAAAAGCCTTTACTTGCAAAGCTCAAGCCTTTAGTGTCTCTTAGGGCCCATTTGGGACTGGATTTATTTGAAAGTATTGTATATCATCGAGTACATTCTTTGACGTGAAGAAATGATTCTAAAGTCTTGTTTAAGGAAGAAGAATCTGGTTCAGCTGCAAATCGAATGCTCACGAAATTCTTGAAGGCCGAAACCTCTCCAAAATTTGCACTCTTACTATAATTCCGCATTAATAAATGAAAATGAATATGCATACATACATGTCTATATTTATCACGTGTTTCCTTTGTGGTTGTATCTGGGGGGCCAATAATAAAGTCTATAATGATATTTATGATTTCACCTGGCATTTTGACAACAAAATGCACCGCACAGAAACCCCCACACTGATGTCTGATGTCGTGTGACAGATGGATTGGTGGCATGATGGACGTACATTATATTTCGCTGTGGCGTTCAAAGTTTCTCCACCGTCAAACGTTTATTTCGTCGTTGGGTTCTTTAATTGATAAAAGCGAGCAGAGCACTTCCTAATGGGCGGAAATGGTCGAGAGGTTCATGGGCGTTGGGCGATTCAAATGTCTCAAAAAATATCACGAAAAGTATCTCGACTTGCATGCCCTTGAACCCACACAAATTGGGCAGATAAAACGTTGAAAAACGGATCATAAATGAGAAAAGTATGAGTACTTTCAGTACTTTCATCTACCGAAGAGGCAAAGATTTCTTTTGTGCTTTCCAATATTGTCACTCATTTTACAACACTGGAAAGCGAAGAAAACAAAGAACTAATTTGCTTTTTCATTAACTTTTGAGGGAATGCAATGACTGATTCATCGCATGATTATCTTCTTTTGTTTCGTAGAACTCTGAGTAATAGTACCGCTCTATAGATCATATAAAAAGGTTTACTTTACTCTCTTGTGCAACAGTTGGTGGCAGTTCCTTCGGGTCTTTGGTGCTTTTCGTTTTCTGTCGCTAATCAAAGTGGTTTTCTTTGATTTCTGTTTACAGTTTGAGACTCACCTTCCAGCACTAAACGAAGCAACGAAGCAGCCAAACGCGAAGAAACCTCCAAGAGGACTCCCCCCAACAAACAGCATTTCGCTTTCCCCCCATCAGTAAAGGAAAACAAGCCGGAAAATGTCTCCAAAAGCGGTAAGTACCTCACAAAGAAATGATATATGATGTATTCCCATAGGTGAAGGGCCACTGCCAGAATTGGGGCCCCTCGTATGTCTCAAAATAGCCAAAAACCAAGAAACTATTCCATGATATGTCTGTCCTAAATAATCAACGAAAACTAAACCATAAATCAGAAGACAGAAGCACCATGCACTGATTTCGAGAGCGGAAACCCGATAGAGAACGAATAAATTCATATTTTGTAGTAAATTCTTATAGATTACGGAAGGTGCCATCAGGTGCTCTGCTCCGTTCTGGTTCTGGTTATCAAAACACTCGAACCGAACGTCCCCTGCCTGCAATTGTCGTCAAAGGAGATCCATCTCTAAATGAAGTTTCAGCAATCGATTGAAAGCGTGACATGAAGACGTCATTGCACTGACTGACGTCTTGTTAATTGAATTTAATGGCCATATTTTTCATTGATTCGGTGGAAAGATAACCCATCGACGACGTCATTGATACAACAGACACTTGAACATTTGAGAGAACATTTGACCATGGCCCTGAAACCGACTACTCTCCTTCCTGTTTATTTTCCTTTTGATTGACGGCAGATAGAGTTATCTGGAGAGATCTTTGGATGGGAACGGAAGGAATGGACTCCATGGGGATTCGTTTTTATTGGTAGACGATGACAAGGCTTTTACTGATTGATTGGTTGAGTGATGGGAGCGATGGATTGTTACGTGGCTCTAATGGGAGCTCCCCATTACGTGATCATGTGAGTGAAGAAGGCAACCAACAATTTCTATACTTTCCAGTAATTATTTGGGTTTATCGAGTCACACGACAGTCGGTTATCGACTTTTTGTAAATATTCTTAATTTTCGATTGGAGATTACGGAAAGGGAAAGTTCTTTCTCTTAGGGATTGTTTCCTATGACAAAAACAACAAGAAACTCTTACGCTTAGCCCTTAACTCGAGTCGAGCACACGACATGTCTGGGGTTTCGAGGAACCCTATGAGTGGTATCTATAGGTTATTCCCTCTTTAAAGATAATCTCCATCTAACTATTGCACGTGTTATTTCTATCTATATATTCTAGGTAATCGCTATCTTTTCAATATAAGCCACTAGCTTCTGGGCAATACCCTATCTCTAAAGTTGATTCATTCTTATCTGTCGAGGAAAACGCTTTCCCCCCGCCGAATGGCAGTGGAACCATAACTTTCCCCTTTTTCTCCACTGCCCATCCAACACTCTCTATAACGAGTATATATATAAATATATGTATATTAGATGTGTGTGTGTTGGGGCGGGGGTAATTGCTAGCTTCAATAAAAAATCGAACTGACAGGCACAACGCGTCGTATGATTGACGCTGATTTGTTTGCCTTACTTCATGGGTCTGGGGCTGGGGCTGCGGGCTCTATCTATCTTTATGTTGACCTCTGCGGTCACCATCTGACGGACGGCCGGACACTTAACTGCCAGTCAGAATGCTGAATGTTGAGGCAGTGTCAGGTTTTACTTTTTTCTTTTGTTTTTTTTTTCTAATTTTAGATGCATAATTAACATGCAATTTGAGAAACGGAACAGCGATGACGATGCCCTCTGGGCACCCATCACATCACTCCCCCTTGGGCAAACACAAATTTAGTTCAATTTTATTTCGCTTTTGTTTTTCCAGCATTTTCTTGTGCACGGCTTTCCTTCTGTGTTTTCTTTCTGTTTCGGCTTACAAAACGTGCCTCGACTTTTCCATTTTCCTCAGTTGCCGCTGGACAACAGAACCGTATCGAACGTCGCTGCACTGCATTCGCGCATTGTTTTTCCCCCCGTTTTCCACGGCATTTTCCAACGACCCCAAGCACGGCACACGACACACGACACACGACACACGACACATTGTTTTTTGCCGAAACAAAGAGCTATCAAAATTCAAAAACTACTGAGAAACCCTTTCGCGCCCAGAATGGTCGTCGTCTCCGACAGCCGTGTCCGTATGCCCCGCTACGGCGGAGTCAGTGTTAAGCGGAAAACGGTTCGTGTTTTTCTTTTCCTTTTCCTTTCTTCTCTTCGTTTTGTTTTGTTTTTGTTTCTGTTTCTGTTTTTTTGAGTGCTGCTGCTACTGCATTTTTATGGTTTCCGTTTTAAGGAAAGATGAAAGAACTGAAACTGTAGATACCCTTTGTACTCGAAGACGAGGAAATCGATTGGGGAATATATATCCATATATAATTTAGTGATCGACTAGTGGCGACTGCGACTGAAAACAAGTGACGAAGAGGGCAAGAACTAACGGGAAATATACAAAATATATTAAAAAGGGTATATTTAATAAACTATAAATAATAAAATACGAAATAAACTATAAAAATAAAAATATAGAAAGAAATATGTAAATACAAGTTTAAAAAATAAAAGAGGAAAAATAATACAGAAAGTTAAAAAATTATACAAGAATATAACATTTACAAAATTGAAGATAATAAAATAATATAAAACTAAAAAATTTAATACAAAAGATAATACAAAAATATATATAAAACTAAATAACTTTGAATAACAAATACAAATATATATATAAATCTAAATACCTTTGAATAACAAATAAAAAAAATGAAATTAAAAAAAGTTTAAACTGAAAAAAAAATTAAAAGGTTTAAATTGAAAAAAATATATATTTATTAAAATATATATGTTAAAAAAAACCCTACATATGCAGGCAGTTAAACATTGAAAACATAAAAATATGAATATTAAATGAAAATTTAAAATATAAATGTAGAAAAAAATTTTTGTTTATTTTATTTATTTTTTTTTTTTTTACAATTTGATAATTCTGAAAATCGTACAACTCTCTAGAGAAACAGAAAAAGATTTTTCACCCACCAAAAATTCTTTGCCAAAAGTCCCAATACCCTACCTTACAAGGTATATGGGGAAAATCAAGTCATGCATTTTTTTTTTTTGTTTAAACTCGAACAAAGAACTGGTTATGATCCCGACTTCCGTTTCGTGGTAGGGGAAGGGGCGGTTTCTGCTGGCCGACCAGACCAGACCAGACCAGAGGGGCAGAGAGGGATGGGGTGTGACTGACTGAACAGAGGGAAACAACGCAACGCTGTTGCATTAACCCAAAAACGTTAATTGGATTGAAATGAAAAACGTTTTCAATTTCCTAGCATTGTGTCACGTTTGATTTGCATTCACAAACTGGAAAACAAAGGCAAGAATGAACACAACAAACCAGGGGGACAAACGATGACAAACAATCACAAAAACGAAGGGATACATTAGGGAGAGGGAAGGGGGAGCCATTCAGTGATGAAATCGGAAGTGGAGTGGAGGCTATGCAAAGTTCTAGGAATGCATCCAAAGCCTTTTCTTTGAACGTGTATCCAAGGCAATAGATCAATGATGATCAATGATTGAAGTCTTCTCCCAAAGTTGAGAAGAAACGGAGCTGAAAATCCCTTAAAGAATACGGGAAAAACAAGTTTCCCTCCTCTCTAGCTCTTTTCTCTTGAGAGTTCCAGGAAAAACTTGCTTGGCTGTTCTGTTGTTGAAGTTTTCCACCTGTCCGCCTACGAGAGAGAGAGAGAGAGCGAGAGCGAGCATGTCCCATTTTCCATTCGTATTTGCAAACAAGTTCTTGGCTTTGAATCGAATTGTCGTTTATCGATAATAGTGTCATGTCGCTCTGCTTTCGCGGATTAACGGGATTTGACGTGGTACAACATGTGGCATGGTGGCTTGGTGGCTTGGTGGCTTGGTGGCACGTGTCATACGGATTGTCTGGTGTTTGAATTGGTTGCGATTTGCGTTTTTGCATAAAAGCTGCATTCGCCGAACGACGCACGTTTTTTGCGAGCCGCGCAAAAGGAAAGCTTGCGGAAAAATCACGCTCTAGCGAGGGAAAAGCAACAACAGCAAAGAAAAAAAAAAAAAAGAAAAAAAATCAATCAGGCATGACACCCAAAGCCAGCAACAGAACGAACGTACGAGAAAGAGGGTGACGCAGCCGACCGACTGGACAGCACGCGGGTTATACAAGTTGGCAAAACACCCATACAGCCATACACACGGTATCTGTGTGTGTGTGTGTGTGTGTGTTTTGTCACTTGACCAATTTCCCCCCCTGGGGGGGTATGGGGCGGGGGCACAGATCATAGGTGAGTGGGTTGAGAGAGGGAGAGAGAGTGAGAGAGTGAGCGAAAGGCACTTGGTCAATGCGCGTGAAGCTAGCAAACTGTGTGGCAACTGTACTTCTCTCCTCTGTTATGCAATCCGACAATTAAACCCCCCACCTCAAACAGATCAAAAAAAATGGAATCGAATCCCAAACTAAACTCCTCTTCGTTTTTGCAGCTGAATGTGCGCGTCACGACCATGGACGCCGAACTGGAGTTTGCCATCCAGTCGACGACGACGGGCAAACAACTGTTCGATCAGGTGGTCAAGACGATCGGCCTGCGTGAGGTTTGGTTCTTTGGTCTTCAGTATACCGACTCCAAAGGCGACTCCACATGGATTAAGCTGTACAAAAAGGTAAGCCAAATCGAAACGAAACGATGATACAATATAACTGATGACAGGGATAATCTTAAGAAAGAGGGAAAGTGCATTTCAGACGAGGCAAGACCCTTTCCCGGAATAGTATCTCTTGATAAATTAACAAAAATATACAGTAGAAAGAATACATTCAGTAAATGTCAATCATCAAATGCACTTTTAGATGAAAATATGTAAGAAAATTTCTTTAAAAAAATTAAAACAGAAAACAACATTAAATTAGAATAGAAAATACAACAAAATTAAATTACAACAGAAATTAAAAAAAAAAAAAAAAAAATTGGAATAGAAATTACAAAAGAAAAAAAAAACTACGAAAATAAATATTTTTAAAATAAAAAAAAAAAAAAATATTTCGTACTAATGTTTAAAAAAGCATGTACCCAGTAAGTTGTTTAATTAATTATTTCTGAAATGCACTTGATTTATACGATAAATAGCTTACTGTTTTTTGGATTTATAATTGTAATTATTATGTATAATAATGTAAATATAAATGTATATAATAATAGCCCGAATCGCCGGCCATAAAGACCATAAAGTACTTGAAACGCGTAAAGAAATATGTGGACAAGCGGACAACAAGCGACAGCAATGGAGTCCATCATTCGGAGACAAGCGAAGAGGATGACGATGCCGATGATATGGTGGGCAGAAGAGAAATCGAATCTATTGAACCCCCAAGCGAGAATCCCCTAAAATATTGCTAGAATAGAATATAATAGATTTCTGTAGATTTATGTAGACTATTGCTTGAGGAATACAGAACAGATGCCGCTACTTTATTGTTTACTAATAACATCTTCTGTCTGTGTATAATTATTCATGCTGCCTAAAAAAAAAGACTGGATCAATGCCGTTTTCCACATGGGTAACGAGAGAGTCAATCCATCCATCCATTCTTCCTACAGATTCCCCCAGTGATCGCCAGCCGTTCTGATCCGTTCTTGTTAATGATATGCTTTGTTTTGGTTTGTTGTAGGTCATGAATCAGGATGTCAAGAAGGAGAATCCATTGCAATTCAGATTCCGTGCCAAATTCTATCCGGAAGATGTGGCCGAGGAGCTCATACAGGACATCACATTGCGCCTGTTCTATCTGCAGGTGAAGAATGCCATATTGACCGACGAGATCTATTGTCCGCCCGAGACGTCCGTGCTGCTGGCCTCGTACGCGGTGCAGGCACGTCACGGGGATCACAACAAGACCACCCACACAGCCGGCTTCTTGGCGAACGATCGCTTGCTGCCGCAGCGGGTGATCGATCAGCACAAGATGTCCAAGGACGAGTGGGAGCAATCGATAATGACCTGGTGGCAGGAGCATCGCAGCATGCTGCGCGAGGATGCCATGATGGAGTATCTGAAGATCGCCCAGGATCTGGAGATGTACGGCGTCAACTATTTTGAGATCAGGAACAAGAAGGGCACCGATCTCTGGCTGGGCGTCGATGCCCTCGGCCTGAACATCTACGAGCAGGACGATCGACTGACGCCGAAGATTGGCTTCCCCTGGTCCGAGATCCGGAACATCTCCTTCTCCGAAAAGAAGTTCATCATCAAGCCGATCGACAAGAAGGCCCCTGACTTTATGTTCTTTGCACCACGTGTTCGCATCAACAAGCGGATCCTGGCCCTCTGCATGGGCAACCATGAGCTGTACATGCGTCGTCGCAAGCCCGACACGATCGACGTGCAGCAAATGAAGGCGCAGGCGCGCGAAGAGAAAAATGCCAAACAGCAGGAGCGGTAAGCGATTGCCTCAAATCGAATTGAACTCGATTCCTAATTGATTCCGGTCTTCCTTGTTAACCTTCACTAGCGAAAAGCTTCAACTGGCGCTGGCCGCTCGCGAACGTGCCGAAAAGAAGCAGCAGGAGTATGAGGATCGCCTGAAGCAAATGCAGGAGGAGATGGAGCGCTCGCAGCGCGATCTGCTCGAGGCCCAGGAGATGATCCGTCGGCTGGAGGAGCAGCTGAAGCAGCTGCAGGCCGCCAAGGATGAGCTCGAGTTGCGCCAAAAGGAGCTGCAGTCGATGCTGCAGCGCCTCGAGGAGGCCAAGAACATGGAGGCCGTCGAGAAGATCAAGCTCGAGGAGGAGATCATGGCCAAGCAAATGGAGGTGCAGCGCATCCAGGACGAGGTCAATGCCAAGGACGAGGAGACCAAGCGTCTGCAAGACGAAGTCGAAGAGGCACGACGCAAGCAGGTCAGTCTGTCAGCGGGCAATAGCCATGGTTCTCCTCTACTTTAGTATCCAATGTCTGACCCAGTTTGATAAGCCCTGTAATCAAGGGTTCAAAAAGGCAATCGGGCCATATTTGATAAGAAAATCATTGCGATAACTCGATTGTTAGATCATTATACAGTCACTGCCTGTATAGCCGAACGATAAGCGATAAAAGGGCGCAGATTCAAGAAGCTTCTACCCAAAATACTATACCTATTCCCCATAAAGAATCGCTTCTTTGAAAGACCACAAATATCTGCCTTATTTTGATGCACATTGGGACGATCATTGATTGATTGCTCTTCAGGCACATTTCATTCCCTGAAACATTGAAAATTTTGCCTTTCCCTGCATGTTTTCTGTACAGAGCTGCCTGTAAAAATGTCCCATAAGCGAAAGGAACTGTGGTATTCATTCCATCTCTGGAGTCTATCTATCGAAATACTTATATGATTACGCATTGCATTTCTTTCAGGCTGAAGCGGCTGCTGCATTGTTGGCTGCATCGACAACGCCGCAGCATCATCATGTGGCCGAGGATGAGAATGAGAATGAGGAAGAGCTGACGAACGGCGATGCCGGTGGCGATGTATCACGCGACCTGGACACTGACGAGCATATCAAGGATCCCATCGAGGACAGACGCACGCTGGCCGAGCGCAATGAGCGCCTGCACGATCAGCTTAAGGTCTGAAAAAGCAGCAAAGTCTCCAAATTCGTTTTATTCAAAATTATATTCTCTTCGGCAGGCCCTGAAACAAGATCTGGCGCAGTCGCGGGATGAGACGAAAGAGACGGCAAACGATAAGATTCATCGGGAGAATGTGCGTCAGGGACGCGACAAGTACAAGACGCTCCGTGAGATCCGTAAGGGCAACACAAAGCGTCGTGTTGATCAATTCGAGAACATGTAAGGAAAACGCACGCACGCACCGCATGCCCCGGACTCTCGGACTCTCAGAAAAGAGAGAGATGGACAGCGAAGAGGAGTCTCCAAAAAGAAAGAGAAAGATATAGAAAGCAGAACAGAAGAACAGAAGTACAGAAAGAAGAGAAAGAAACAACAAATATAATTCCGGTCGTTGCGACGATGACCCCCTAAAAAACTTCAAGAAATATCCGCAGAAGTCTCCTATCCTGAAAATCCGTAAAAAAAAAAAACTTCAGATATTCTTTGTTTTCTGAGAAGCTTGTATAGAAAAGAAATCACAGCACACAGATATAGTTACAGATACAGATAGAGATACCCTAGAGACAGACAAAAAACACGCCCTGGACGATGACACAATTATGAGAAGGGACAATCAATCAATAGATCACAGTCGAAACACAACAATCACTAGAATCAATCAAGAATATTTTCAATTTTGAAACGCGACAGACAACAGAAATTAAACCACAAATACAACTACAACTACAACTACAACAAAAACAACTATTTGCATTTTTTCCCCCGTTATAATTATTATTTTTATTATTATATAATTACTATTTTTTTTTAAATTTGTATAATTAAATAAGAACTTGATTTATTGTTTCTTAAAAATAACTTGAGAAGAGAGCAAACAAAACAAAAACAAACAAAAAACAACAACAGAGAAACAAAAAATATATTATATAAAATATTTTTTCTTCTTTAATCATATTTTTGTTTTGAAAGAAAAAAGATTCTTCAAAAAATAAAAAAAAAACAACAACAAACAAACGAAACACAAGAAAAACCATCAAAAACTATTGTGAAAAAAACCAAACAAAAAGTTTTTAAATTAAACAATAAAAATGTAAAAACAACAAACAAATATTTCGATTGAAATCGGAATGGAAAGCCCCTGCCACGAAGGTGTGTTGTTGCTTTGGAAAGCCTTCTGGGAACTGTATGGCGGATCGATAAGAATATCATTATTTTTTCATTGGTGGGATTGGGGATGAAATAATCCGAAATCGTAGGGAAGGCTAGGCACTTTGTGGCGGTGGATATCGTGGGAGTTTTCACTACATATATCGAGCATATTAGATTCCACAGCATACGATAGTATTTTTAACATGGTATACGCCGGAAGGTCCACTAATTTGTTGTTTTTTTTTTGCTTAAAATTAAATAAACTCATTAAGGCGATACAAATCGCTCGATCGAAATGATTTATTTGATATATGAAAAGGCAGCAAACATACGGACACGATATTTTGCCGATAGTGTAAGTGCCATCCCAAGCGGAAGAGCGGGCTCGACTACTCTTGCGTTGCTCTGCTTCTCGAGAGAGCCAAGCCATGTGGGAGAGAGCGAGTCCGTACGTATGTGTGCATTCGCTTCAGGGCAGCACAGTTTTACAAGCTCTTCTGACGTCGGCAGAGAGTCACGTGCAAATTTGTGTTAGCGGCGCATCGCGACGGGAAAATAAAATGGAAGTCGGTCGGCCGCTTATATTTCTCTGCCCAGAGCCCTTTTCAAGCTTCGATTTCGTGCAGCAACACAACCAATCCCTGAGCAGAGCTATCCCGCTAAAGGGTAAAGCACCCGCACATTACTTTTCGCGCGACTCTCGCAACGAATAACTGTTATTCTTTTTTCATGTTTTCTTTGGGGTTTTAGAAGAAGTTCTTACCGAAAAATAGTCCGATCATAGCTTTGTACACGCTAAGACGATCGATCCATCATAAAGATGGCCCATCTCATCGCAAAAGTACGGCAATGTTCAATCTTCAGACGGGACCGGCTTTAGGAAGCGGCAAATTCCAGACAGAGGTCTCCCATTTTTCGAACCAAACTCCATCTTTGTCCTCCCTGCAGTCATTTTGGATTGCTAGAAGGCGCCATGTGTCCTGAATGGTCCTCGCTTCTGTCAAGTATAGATTCGAGCAGAAATTCGATGGATACCTCTGTCTCCACCCTTAGACCCTCCATAGAACTCCCTCGCTTCTTGCACAGAAAAAACATTTGAAGTCTACGAATGATGGTTCCGAAACTTAAAGGACTGTTCATTGTGCCGTACCCCTTCCCAAACGAGTCTCAGATATACTTTGAACGACAAGTGTTTTTGGAAGAAGACTCCCAGCTCTGCCAGTCAATAGAAGCCTCTCATCTCAGAAAATCAATCTCGTCCCAAATCGATCGAAAATCCAATATCATTGTCTAATTTTTGTTCTAGCGCTTTATTAATGCAAATATCAGAAGTTGATAACAATAGATACATCAGCTATGTATGTATAAATGTATATATATGTATTTATCTATATTATATGCACACAGGTATCAGATATCAGATGTCATTCATATGTGAGCTGTATAGCAAAAAAAAAAAAAAAAATTGAAATGGAAGTACCAACCAACCGCGCAACTTAAGGTAGCAAAAAAAAAAACCAAAAAAAAAAGAAAAATAAAAAAAAATTAAATATCAAATATCAAGAAACGAGATGGATCCGATCCGATCCGATTGATTTGCTATTCTTTTTTTTGTTCGTCTATTAGATAACACACACATATACAATACGACAATCGTAGGCTAATTCAGTATTATGCATATAATAATAATAATAATAAAAACACGATATCTCTCTCTCTGAAGGCACATAATTACAGGGGCTGGGCGGCGGCCCATCTAAGGCGCACTCCGTTCGTGGTCTATCGCCGAACTCCAAGAAGGGGTTTCTGGGGACCAGGAATTGAGTATATTAGTTACAATTTATATTTATATATATATGTATATATAGTATATATAATAAGTATATATATGTATGTCGGTGTCTGTGTCTGTGTCTGACTTGGGATCGGCGAAAAGTTTGGGGGAAGGAGTTTGGTGTGGGTTTGGTTTTCGGTGATCCCCTAATGGATTCGATTCGTCTCTTAGAATATAGAATATATATATTTATGTGATGTGATCTGATCTGATTCCAATTCGATTAGTATGGATTTCGTTGCACGGTTATTGCTCCTACGCGAATCTGCTAGTAGGGATTGACGGCAGCCAGGCCAACGCGTCCGCCGGATCGGGCGAACACCGGCTCCGCATAGCTGTGACGATAGCCCTTGGGCATGCTGGCCAATGGCTTGCCGGAAGCGGACGATGAGCCTCCTACTCCTACTCCTACTCCTGCTCCGCCTCCCTCAACGGATCTGCCGTTGCTGCTGCTTGGCGTCGGTGCGGGCGAGGGATAGCGCTCGATGTGGTGGCCCCGGGCGGAGCCCGAGCTCGATTTGGTCTCCGACGACTGCAAGTATTCGCGGGAATGGGCCCGCACCTGATGGCGACCCTGGTGCGGATCCCTCGCCCTCGCCCTTTCCTGCTCCCGCTCCCGCTCGCGCTCACGGTCTCTGTCATGGCGATAGGGGTCCCGGGACTGTTCTCGGGGCAGAGGAATCTCCTCACCACGGCGATTGTAGTCACGATCTCGATCCCTCTCCCTCTCTCTGTCGCGTCGCTCGGGTACGTGTCGTGGCTGTGGCTCCGGCTCCGGCTCCCAGTCGCTGCGGGAACGGGCCCGGGATCGGCTCAATTGATTGCGATCTAGATGCGGATTGGGGACCACCTCATCCTCCTCGCTCCACTGCTCATACGTGGCTGGTGGCTCCACAGAGCCGCGTCTGCGACGAGATGAGGATCTGTAGGGATCGGGAACGGACGGGGAGACGGGCGCGGTCATTTCGCGTTCATCCAGGTCATAGCGACTGCCCGAGCGCTGCTCCATGGCCCGAAACTTGTCCTTGGCATCGTGGAAGCGGTCCCTCTGCGATGCCTGGCTGGGAGGTGGCGCCACAAAGTCTCCCCTATCCCTATCCCGTTCTCGTTCCCGCTCGGAGCGGGGCTTGCGTGGATCGGGATTTGGTGGCTCGCCGTATCGCATGCCCGTCGACTTCATCATCTTCTCCATACTCTGGATATATGGCAGGCTCTCCGCCTCGCGATATGGATTCCGATCCCGGGAATGCTCACGTTCCCGCTCGCGCTCCCTTTCCCTCTCCCTGTCCCTGTCGCGCTCTCGATCATGCCTTCTCTCGGTTGTTCGCTGACCCAGATCCGAGCCCCGATGCACTGCAGCATATTTGTTGTGCCCAGCCCCTGGTGGACCACCTCCCTGCGACTGCTCGAACGGCAGCTCCGAGGGCTCTACATAGCGATGACGGCTGCCGCCATACCGCTGCGACTCCTCAGCCGCATAGGACTTGTGCATCTGATGGTGGCTGTGCTGCTGCTGCATCTGCAGCTGCTGCTTCTTTGATGTGTACTCCATGAACTTCTGCTTGTCCGTGAGGTTCTCCTTGCGGTGATGGTGCTGCTGCTGCGGCACCTTCTCGTGCCCGCTGCCCTGATCCGAATCGTCAAAGTCATCGAGATTCTCATCGAGTCGGGACGAGCGTCCCTTTCGGTCGCGTTCTCTGTCATGGCTGGATAGCTTCTTGTTGAGCAATCGATTGATCTCATTGTACTTGTCCGTGTCCCGCAGCTTGGCCGGCTGCTGCGGCCCCGTCTGGGGTGGCTGCTCCTGCTGCATGACGCGATTGAACTTTGCATCGTAGTCGGCTGGTCGCATAATGATCGGCTTGATGTCGTCCTCACGGTTCCAGGGCTTGTTCGCGACTGAGACTGAGGCTGGAGTCTTGGTCCGTTCTCGCTCCCTCTCCTTCTCGCGTTCGCGTTCCCTCTCCCGCTCCCGCTCCCGTTCCAATTCTCGATCGCTCGGCCTGGGCTGATACGGCTTGGCCGGCAGATCCCTCAGATAACTATCCTCGGGCGGCTGCACGGCACTCTTCCGCTTCAGCTGCACATGATGCGGAATAGCAATTTGTGACGGTTTGAGCGCTATCACCGAGTTGTCGGCCTCATTCGACCAGTGCTCGTCATCTGCGGGTGGAGAAGCATCGATCGGAATAAGCAAACTAGAATCAATTAATAATGTAATGTCAGTCCACCTACCGCTGGAGCTATTGAGCTCTTGTCTCTCCGGGCTGGGCGCCAGATCGGAGCCAATGCCCGAGGATCCCCTCGAGGACACCTGCTTGCCATTGGCATTGGCCGTGGCCGTGGCCAGTGGCTGGGGCGTGGCGCCTGCCGCTGGACCCTTGGGCGAGCCACCCACAATCAATGCATTGCGACAGCGACGCAGCTCGATGGCCGTCAGGTTGCCCTTGGAGCGGTGTACGGTGTCGTAGTCGCGGGGCGGCAGCAGCAGTGGCGGTCCATTGCCATTCAGTTTGGCCCGCAGCTCGGCGGCCAGGGAGTCGAACAGCTCGCTGTTCTGCTGCGGCGTAAGTGGCGGATGGTGCAGCGGATGTGGGTGTGGCTGTGGAGGATGGTGCTTTCCGTGGGGCGGCGACCGGGAAACAGGGGAACCTGCCACGCCGTGCTCCTCGCTGCACTCGGACTCGCGCGTACTGTTGCCGGTGTCGCTGCCCAGGGAGCTGCTGAAGCGCTTCGGCGACGATGTCTCGTGGCGGCGGCTCTGGTGGGCCGCATATCCAGCAGAGGACGCCGATTGTTGTGACTGATGATGGTGATGCTGGGAGGACTTTGTGTTCGACGACTCGTGTCGCTTGTCGTTGCTGCCAATGTGATGGTTGTTGTTGTTGCTATTGCTGATTGGAAGAGGCGGCAGGATTCCCAATCTGCAAATAACAAAAGGGTTAAAATCCAATAAAAGCAAGTATTAAAAAAGAAGCAAGTTAAGTGGAAAATTGATCGTTTTAAACTGTGTGGGCATGGCTAAATGTTCTATCTAGCTAGTAATAATAGACGGAGCATCAAAATTGAGCAATATGGTTATCAATCTAAGCTATTATCAGCCAAGGGGGAATTTCAAATAAAAAAATTTAATAATTTTAATGCATCACCTGAGGATGGCATGAATCTACAAGAAGAATTTAAAATCGTTAATATTTTCCGCCATTTACCTCAAGTAGCTGAACTGTTTAAATAGAGGGGGCTTAAGCGGGCTAAGTTCGGGTTTCCATCATACGAGACGCTACATATATTGTTGTTGACGAACCCAAATTTTGGCAAAAACAATCAAAGTCAAGTGTTTAAAATAAGCCAGTCAAGTAAAAACAGATTCATTTATTGGATAAAATTATGTGGGCAGGGCTGAGAGATCTATCAAGCTAGTAATATGCCACGGAATATCAAAATCGGGGAATATGTATAACAGAACTTGAATTCGTCAGTATATTTACGGTATATTTTTTAAATGAGACGGTATATTTCTGAGGGTCGGTCGGTATATTTTAACGATAAATCCGCGGTCATACTGCTCTGTAGTAAATAAAGTGCGCGATTTTTACGCCCGCGTTTAAAAACGGATTCCTTTGCGCCATTTTATGTTATTGATATGGAAATTGGTGCATTATCTGGCCAGTGGCCACAGAGGTTTAGCTTTTTTTTAAGTGTGTGAAGTGTTTGCTTCGCGTAAGGTGATTACCGCTACAATATGGAAGTCTAAAGAATGGCAGCTTTTTAGTGCTTGTTAATCAACAACAGCGAATAGTTGTAATGCTTCTGGGTTAGTCTTATCCCCATTTCAATTTTCCACCATATGTAAATGTATTTTTTGCCAAATATCAGCGTGCCAGCATTCCAAGATGGCGACAGCCAAGACAACTCTGGGGGCAAACGGTAAATGGCAAAGCTACGTGCCAGAAGCAAGCTGTAAAATGTGCATACAAAAAATAGTTTACCCGACAAAAAAGAAGTGTGCGGGCTATCTCGTTATGGATATGGGTGCGCTGACATTTGGCAGGGGTGTGGGCGCACATACAGAACCACTTCTTTGGTGGGGACTGGGACTGGGGCCCAAGCATTTTACTCGCAGGCACTCACACACACATCGACATTAATTGTGTAATGAAAACATACACATACCTTGTTTCCAGCTCCTCGAATCGTTTCTGATTGTCGGGACGATTGATGAGGACCTGCAGCTGTAGGTGCAACGCCTCCGCCGTTGTCTCCGAGTCGCAACGGTAGGCGTGGACATGGAGAGGGCACTTGGTGGCCGGATTGTACAGCAGAAGGACACAGGCCACGATGTCGTCGGTCTGCACGGAGCTGGTTATGGCACTGTGGGGTATCAGATGCTTCGATGCCCCCTGCAAACAAACCAGCAGACGTGGGGCTAAGCACCAGATGAATCTATATGCGTGGGACGCTGCGCTTACCTGCACGATTTTGATGCCCTTGTGGGAGACCTGAAGCGTCACCTTCAGCGGCTCCTGGCCGCGCGATCTGTCCACCAGATACGGCAGCACCGAATTGATTACGCGTGGGCCGCGCAATCCCTTGGCCTCCTCGGCGCCCAAGAACCACACATAGTACGAGGCCTTCTGCACGTCTCGACGCAAGCGCAACGCCATCTTCTCCGTGTCTGCAAAATGGGTGCGTGTGCGTCTCAAAGGAGCAATATGTTGTATAACGGTTTATCGTCTATGAATTTGGGCTTAAATGCGGACTATATCGTTGAAAACATCTGCAAGAAAACGAGCAAAAGGAAGTAAGAATTAGAGAATACCCTACAAACCGCTTGCTCTGCCTTGAAATAGTTTAATTATGATAAGATTCGTCTGAGTAATGATCTGATTTGTTCAACAGCAGGTGCACAGCCAAGAATCGACAGAGAATGGAAGATGGCCTCAACAGAAATGGTAAATCACACCACAAAATCGGCTTCAAGCCTTGCCAAGCCAAGCTCTTGAATGTCAAAGAGGAAACGTTACCAAATGGAGGATTTCAACGACAAAACTGGAATGTTTCGAGCAACTGTTTCGAGTGCCATATAACGGGCAGACCAGCGGACCACCATCTCGTCATGTGTCATAATTTGTGTGAAGCACGGCACTGCACAGCACCGAACAGAGGAGGAGCAGAAATATCAGAAACTGGTGCCAAAATCCCACCAAAATCAAAGCAGAGAAACCAGAGACAAACGGTATTAACCCGTCATACAGGTGTCGTTGTCTGTCGTTTTCTGTGTGTGAATGTGTATCCGATTCTCTCCTCTAATAACTTTTATAATCGATGATCTTGTGTGACTTGTTGTTCGCTCGTTCGTTCGGGGCCTCGCCGTCGTGTAGGCCAAAAGAATCTTGTTTTTTTCAGTTATGCATTCAACACAAAGGCCAACAAAAACCGCAACGCGAGAGACGATGAGGAGAGAGAAGACGCGCCAGTCAGATATTTATCAATATATAGGTATGCTTAAAAAATTTACATATGACACACACACACACAGACGTACACAAACGATAGTATTAACCTCAAAACGGATTTAAATTTAAAAAACGAGAAACGAGGAATGCATAATCACAAAACGATAAAAAAAACACGAAGAAAACAACCCAACGAGTGGGTACTACGATGACAGAACTCTATAAATATCTAAGAATACGTGACTCTGGGCATATCATGGAATACTAATTGTTGTATCAATCAGTAAATTGACTTAAGAGTGGGATAGGGGCATGCAATGAGTGCAATCCTCTCTAAAGTATTAGATCAAAATGTAAACAGATATTCCCCATTGAAGTGATCACATACCGTCTATTGGTGAGGTACAAAGAGGTACCTCAATATTTTGAGGAAGTAGATAGGTGGATGGATGGATGTCCGCTTGGGGTTTTTTCTCTGTGCGGCCAAAAACTTGTTTTTCCTATGGTTGTGATTGATGGAATAACGTACACAATAGGCAATTAATAGTAATTATTTATATTTCCTATTCTTTTATTGATTTTGTAGAAACCCGCTGCCAATACTGGAATTTTCTTGGGCTTTCTTAAAGGTTAGTTGGTTATTATTTTTGATTTTAATTGTTTTAAGAATAGTTCATTCAGTTTGTGCTCCCGAACAGGTCTGGAGCCAAAAAGAAGTCCGAAACAGAGGCAGAGCCATAGATACATATAAGGTAACCATTGGATGCCCGGCCCCCATCGTGTGATGAAAGACTCGTGTCGGCCGTTTGCCGTTTTGAAGATGATATTTGCATAAAACAATCCGTTTGCTGATCAGCCAAGCAGCAAATAAACAATTTGCAAAACAGATCTTTTGTTATGCGATGAGTTTTTGTTTTTTTTGTTCCCCCCTCTGTTTATCTGTAGAATCGTCTGTCCATAATTCCACGCGAGTGAGGAAGAAGAAGAAGTTGTATTGGCCAATGCTTTAAGTACAAACCAGATCGAAAGAGTGGTATCTGAAAGATACATGTAACTCTTGCCACCAATTGATGGTATGTTCTGTTCTGTTCTCGTTTCAGGCATTTATTGGATTTGCTTGTTGTTGTCTAAAAAATGGGCTAAGCGCCTTTTCTGCCACAATGCCACATGATGATGATGATGATGATGATGATGATGATGAATGTTGGGGCGGCGTTTGGGGGCATGGCTTTAAGAATCGTATCGGAACTGGCACTGGCACTGGCACTGGCACTGGCACTTGCACTACTATTTTGTTGTTGTTTCATTGGGTTTCTGCTCCAATTTGTTCAGAGAGTCAGAGCTCTCGATCAATGAACCGTTTTAGACACCAACACAGATGCACAAGATACACACCACACTCGCACAGAAGTGGAGCGTTTAAATTTCTAAAAAACTTATTTGATTAACGGTTAATGGCTCTCCGCCAAAGAGACTCAGAGTCTCTCACTCTCTTACTCTCTTACTCTCTTACTCTCTCTCTAGCTTCATCTTTTCTTCTGCCATCAACACACACACCTTAGCAGAGCCGCAGCAACAGATATATTTATATATATCGTGTATCGTATATCGTATATATCGTGTGGCGAGAGAGCAACAAAAAACAAAACAAAAAATAGCGTTAACAAAAAGCGCAGCGGTTCTACTTGTAACTAGTATTCCGTGAGAGAGCTCCAACTCGCGGTTGTTTGTGAAAGACAACGTCCCAACGCTTTGACCGCCTGCCATCGACTGACTTGTCTCACTGCCTGCCAGCGAACATTGTGGTGGCTGGCTCGAACGAACGAACGAACGAACGAACTCCCAGCCCAGCTCTTGGCCTGGTCGACGGTCTCGGTCTGGTCTGGTCTGGTCTGGCGTGGTGTGGTCTCTGCCCCGCAGACCCGGTTTGTGCGCCGAGCCGAGCCCGAACTTGTTTTGCTGTTGCCGCAAAGAAAGTCAAGTCGCGATATTGCATACAGTGTCGACAAAGTGCCCCAAGAATGCATCAAATCTTTAGTGGGTTTCGGGAAGATCTGAAAGGGATCTACTCTAAGAGTTTTTAAGCTATACTATGATTGTTTTCCACAGAGCTCGGAATAAGCGCAAGCAAAACTGTGACTGGCTTTCGTTAAAGCCTCTAAGAGCCTTCCAAATCCGCAACCAATTCCAGCAGGCACTCTTCTGTACCACTGTGCTGCTGCTGTCTTTGTGGACTTTATGGAGTGCGGGGGGCATGGGGGGGGGGCTTGGTGGGTGCTTGGTGGGCTCGGGGGAGTGTGGAGTGTCTTGTGCTGGAATGTGTTGAAATTAAAAGTTGTTGGGTTTTTGGGCGCAGTCGCGGCCCTGGCGCAGCACAGGCCAATGTGTTGGTTTTTTTGGCTTAGACAGGTGTACGCAGACGCTATTGTTGTTGGGTGCCGTGCCGCCAGTTGGTCGTTGGTGGTGCTATTGATACGAGCATAGCATTGAGCACTGTTTTTTGAAAAGCCGTCCGTGCATTCTACAAGTTTTCCATCCATCTACCGAAGACCTGTACACACACCGAACCGATTGAAAAACTTGGCATTTAACTTGTTTTGGTTTTCGTTTTAGCCATCGAGTGAAATCTACAGGTAATTCTCCTCTCCTTGTGGCCGGCCACAACGGAAATGCTCATGATTTAGTCAAGGTGTCGGTGTATTTGCACAATTCTTTAGACTTTTTGGCACAGTTTTCAAGAGTCAAGAGTCCCATATTTTTTTTGGGATATTTACAGATTGATTGATGGCTGGCACAGGGATCCCCCCCCCCCCCCCCCCCCCCCACCAATCGCAACTGGTTCTTCTCATAAAATGTTCGCCTTGGCCCCGGCCTGACGCCTCTGCAAACGTGAAAAGCACTCCAACATTTTCCAGATAAAGTGTTCTAATTTTTGGCACCGAAAACGCGTATAGAAAGCTGTCTTAGCGGATATCCGTACTACTTGTGGGCCTCAATTGATATCTAGATGGGGCTTATTGAACACCTAAAGATCCGCCATGGAAACACAAACAAAAAGGTGGCATTTGTATGTTTTTTGATTGGATTTTTCCCAATTTTTCATTTTGTTGTAAACGAATTTCCTGTTTTAGTATCTTTGTATCTTCATCAGAGGCTCGTTCATTATCATTATATTTCCCCCTAAACAGCCCTTTCCATCCACCAAACATTTCCTCAATTACAGAAAAGGTGGTCTATAAGAAATGTTTGTAATGCATTTTGGTGGAACTCATTTTCGACAGAATGTATGCCATGATGGGGCACTATTTATGGTGGGGTCATTGTTGGCTCTTTAGTAACAATCATATTTGTAAAGATAAAAGAGCAATTCACCCCAGCCCCTCCCCCACCGAAGAGCGTGACAAACGTCGAAAAATACTGGTTGAAAAAATACTGTAAATACCTTTAAGAAATACCGATTTAATGACCTTGTGCCGCCCCAGCCCCCAGTCCGCAGTCCGCAGCCCTTGCTGTAAATGCGATTTCGGCACGTTTTTTGGCTGCCAAAGATTTCACCAGCCGCACTGTTGTACAGGTTGTTGGCCAAATATCCCTGCTAACCCGATGACATGGAAAGGAGAAGAAAGGCGAAGAAAGGCGCAGAAAGGAGAGGCAGGGGCCGGGGCAGGGGCAGGGGCAGCGGTGGAGGGGGGAGGGGGGAGGGGGAGAGATCCAATGCCAAAACAATTGCCAAATGGAATTTCACTTTTCATTCGTCGATGGAAAAACTAAAAGATGGAGATGCAATTTTTGCAATTAAATTTCAACGGCTCTGGGAAAAACTGGTTGCTTAAATATTTATAGTAGGTCTACACACATATATCATGGACTTTTGTTGTTGTTGTTTATCGTTGATTTTTTTTTGTGAAATCCGAAAAGATAAATATGGCCAAGGCCAAAAGGAAGAAGACGAAGACGACGCCTCGGGCCGGAGGCCATCTCCCAGAAAGCTCCAGTAACTGATCTGTGGATGGAAACAAGTGGCTGGCTTTCTTTTGGGTGCGACAACAAGTTGTGGCCTCCTCTCCCAGCGTCTAGAGCTAAGCGTTTTTAATTGAATCGAGCAATGGTGCGATGTGGTGTGCGATGCCACAAGAAGAGAAGTCAAGTTGTCGTGAAACGCGTTAAACCGCTTTTGATTTTTATATAGTATATGTGGTGCTTGGGGTAAAAGTGGGTAATCATCATTAGCAGAGGCAAAACCAATCACTATGCCACACAGTCCCGTACCCCAACCACCTGTGGCACTCACTGTCTGCCGCGATCTGTGTCTGATTAGGAGGCCTCGCCTCTGGTGAGAGTGCGATACAAAGTCAATGGAAATGGAAAAGATACAAATTAAAACATTTCCAATGCCAGCACACGCGTGGGGGATTTGTGAAATTAAAGTGAAATTCACTTGATTTTGATGGCTTCTAAGCCCCCGGAGGCTCCCACGAATATGTCGCCCAAAAACCAACAAAAACTTTCAATTTGCAAAACAGAAAGCGAATTTCTCCCGAGAGGCACTTGGAAGTCGCACTTTCGATTGATTCTGTTGATTCTGTTTGGTTCTATGGAACTGGGAGTCCTCCCTCCCCTGCTCCACTTGGGGCACCTCTGCCTCCTACTGTCATCTCATCTCATCTCATCAGTGGCTGGCTTTGGCCACTCCCCGATCAACCCAGAGCCCCAGAGAGACCCGACAAAAGAAATTTGATCTATTTCACGTGATTAGCGGCAATATAAATTGCTTTCGAGGCTGGAGCGTGGAGAAGGAGAGGAGATGCCTGTCTGTCGGCATTCATTGATTGAAGATTGAACACTGGAGATTTGAGATTGGAGATTGGGTGAAAACGTACGAGTAGCTCTTTTGGGTGTGTCATAGGAGCATCATCGAAACGAGCCGATCACGGCCACATGCCACAATCGAAGGCGTGCCCCAAGCAGCTCCTTGCTAGACTCTCGAACGAGTTCCGTGTGTTCGGGGCGATTCATCATTTTGAATGATTTGCATGTGGAAAAATGATGACGATTTCTATTAAGTGCCGTCTTTGGAATGTTTTCCATTACTTTGGCTTTCGATTATTGATTCAGCCATTCTTGTGGTTTTTTTTACCCCCATTTCTAGTTCTATTTCTCCTGCTATAAATTATGTGCGCAAAGTGTGCCTCTGGTGGGTCTTGGCTTTTCCTGGAAAGCCCAGAGTTCAGCCAAGCCAAAAGTAATGGCTGTCTCTAAAAAGAGAAAGAACAGCCCAGAAAAACCCACAGCAGACACGCGCCCGAAAAAGTTCTTGAAGCAAGACAAAAAACATTTGGAGCTAGCGGTCCGTCCGTCCGTCCGTCCGTCCGTCCGTCCGTCCGTCTGTCCGTCCGTCGCTGATGGAGTGATGGAACAGTACGGTGTAATTATATCATTTAATTTCGGTTACGCGAAGACTGTGCTTGAGGCCCCCAAAACTCTGGGCATATAATTGCAAAGTTACGAAGCGTTAACACCGCGTAAAGATTGTCCAAATTTGATTGTGAATCGGATCGGATAGGATCGGAGCTGGGAACTATTTTCAGACTCTGGCTCCGACTCTGGGTTAATGGCTAAACGATGCTCTTGATTGATGTTTATTTTTTTGGGCCTAAATTGATTTATTTAACCAGTATCTGCCCTACCCGGCCCTGAGCCCTGGGCCCTGGGCCCTGGGTGTGGCCCCACCTTCAAACATCAAAGATCTGTAACGAATGCTGGCTAATGAATACATCTTTCCATTAAATGTATTAGTTTTTGGTAACTTTCTGCCAACAATTTGTTCGATTTTTGCGGTAAATACATGATTCAT